GCCAGCCCCATCCCAGGGGCAGGGGGTGTGGGTCCCCCCGGGATTTGGGGGATGCAGAGCACCCAACTCCGCGGTGCTGTGCCCCCTCCGAGGGCTGCTCTGACCACATCCATTTGGCTAAAAATGAGGCATGAGGTCATTATAAACCAGCCTGGGGGTACAGGGGCTCACGGGCCCCTTGGGGCCGGATCCTGCCCCTGCCGCGGTCTCACGGGGCGATTTTTTCCTTGACCAGCCCAGATCCCCTGGGAATCCCAAGGAAAAACCCAAATACTTCTGGTTTTTTGCCCTGGATGACACCATGGGCAGCCACATCCAGGGCCAGCCAAAAAACCCCACAAATGCCCTAAGGATTATTCTGGAAATGAAAAACAAAGCATATATATGTGTATCTATATATAAATACACATATATAGACACACACACACGATACATCATCAATCAACCCTAGAAGAGTGATTTAGCTGCTCGCTAGCTACCTTGGAGTAAAAAAATTCACATAAAACCTCAAGAAGAGCTTTCTGAGGGAGGACCCGGCTGGGTTCCAGCCCGAGGGCAGGGCAGAGGGCAGAGGGGGGCATCGAGCCCCCGGGGGCTGCCTGAAGGCTGGGAAAGGGGCTGAGGGGTGAATCGCGGGTATCTCTGCCCACGCAGGCACGGAGGTAAACGCAGCTGCCGGGGCGGGGGCTCGACCTGTGTTGCAGTAGGACCTACACAAAGTCAGAGCATCCCCAGAAGTGCTCAGCTCAGGGCTGCCTCGGGGGACACGGGGACGGTGTCGGTCCCAGGGGACGGTGCCCTCCTGGAAGGGCTATGCTCGCACCCTGGGGTGCTGCGGGATGGTGTGGGTCTTGGGAGACCTCTGCCCACGTCTTGCCCAAACCCCCCCTCCTGCAGCTTGGGTGGTCCTGACAGCAGACAGACTGACGGACAAGCCATGCAGAGGGTCTAGGGCAAGCAGGATGGGGACAAGAGCCAGTGCCGGACCCCACGGAGATGCCTCCAGTGTCCCCAGATCAGGCAGGGAGCATCCAGTGCGGGGATGCTGATGGGGGGCACCAC